TTAGTCCCATTACAATCTGCTGCTTTTAGTAACCAGCCCCTCAAATAAGAAAATCAGACTCTTCCTATAATACCCACCAAGTATCTCAATGAAGATCCCCCAGGCTGTAACCCTTGCATAGGTCATGTGCTTTCTCTGGATTTTCCTAGTGTTGTTTGGCATACCTACCATCATGCTCCACTCTCCTTAGGGTGGCTTTATTTGCTGTGCTTTTGCATGATGTTATGCAATGCTGTGGCACTGTTTGCTGTGTTGTATTAAAGGGGATACAGATGGTTTATTTTAAACACAAGGCAATATGGGTAATACTGTTGGCCATTCGGCATCTTAGTAGTTTCTTTGTGGTCTTTGAAATCTTCTCTGCATTATTTGTTGTCAGAGAAAAGCAGCAGGAAGACTATCCTTAAAGCTTGACAATTTTCATCCATCACTGATGTCTTGTGCTAGTCCGTGGCAAATGATGTTACTATTTTAATACGGTAGTGTTATGCATCTTTTGATTACACCCTTTCAAAGCAGCCTCTGCACACCTGTTGGGACTCCCTTTGGTGGTGGTCGGGATCTCTTGGTTCTTCAGCAGCAGGGGAGCTATTTGTAGCCCAACCTGCTTTCATTATTATTGCAAGTGTATGTTATTAATCTTTTGTGCAAAGCTTCCTTTCTCGCAGGAATTCACGAGGATGGGTATTACATTGCAGTCTTTCTCCCACCCTGCTCAGTCTGAAAATATGACAAGTGTGACCCTCATGGACTCTGCAGAGGTCAAAAGCTAGATGATACTTGAACTAGCGTATTATAGATATTAAAACTGAGATGACAAAACTGGTAACAACAAACAATTCCTCCCACCCTCTGATCCTCCAAGATTTATAAACTGAGAAGGTTTATTCAGTCTGGAAAATCAAATGCAGGGGAGCATCTCTACCATTTTGTGAAGAAACAGGACAGTTTCTCTCACATGTTAGAGTTCTCCAACTTACCCAATAGGCCATGTTACATTATGAGAATGATAGGTCTTCTTTAAGTCTTCCTCTTCTCTCATTGAATCTGGCAATAGAAAATATGGCTCCCTGTTCAATGAGAGACAGACTGCTAAAACTCTCTTCTTCATGCACATGTAGGTGCACAGGAGACACAGATAGGAGAAGGTTAAACCTCCCTGCCCTCCCTCAGCACAGGTACTAAAAATGAAAAGGGGAAGAAGAGAAAAACAACTCCCTCAGCACCACTGGAGGCCTGCCCTCCCCCTCTTCCTTCGAGAAGGCTGCACATTTACTAATGAGTAAACAAAAGAGAATCAGCTGCACACAAGTATATCATGTAGTGTGACCCTAAGACATCACAATCACGGTGGCTTCAGAAGAAAAGCAAGTTCAAGGCCTATCAACGTTATGCAAGTTCCTGGTTTAAATGATAGACTGGTAGTGATTTCAACTGAGCAACTATTGGCAGTCACTTGTTCCTGTTGTTACCAGAGTCTTCCAGGGTCTACTGTCCACTCGCTTTGGAAACAAACTAGAATAGTGGGGAGCAGAGGGAGCCAAATTCATTTGTCTCAGGTCTTTTGCAGAGAGGAGAAAGTCAGTGTATGTCGTATTGATGAAGTCTTCAAGCTCATCCCTGAACATCTGCTTCTTCTTGGCCTCAACAATTAACTGAACAGAATGTTAGCCTGCAGTTGAAGCCTGCCTTGAGTGGGTTGATTGACTGGCGCTTGCAGCATCCATCTTGCCATAGCACATGTCTGAGGAAACTCATATAATTTCTCAGCATTCTGGGATACCAAATCACCAAGGAGGTTATACCTAAAGGCTCCAACCCAGTGCTCACCTGATGTCTTGAACTGCAACTCCCATCATTCCTAGCCAGCATTAGGACTCATGAGAGCTGCTGCCCAACACATCTGGTGGGCACCAGAAAGGGCGGCTGGTAGCCTAGAGCAAATTGTGTTCACATGTTTCCCAGGACCAGCCAGAGCTTTGCAAAAGAAATTCTGCTCTATAACAAAGCCACCAAGGGTCACAAGCATTTCCGCAGCCAGGAGGATCCATTTTTATCAAGTGGCCTGACCTCTGCTTCAGCCAGACCAGCTTATTTCACCCAGTGTTGGTTAACAAAAGGCCCACTGACAACTTCATTAGTGAAAAGCACTCCCCCCACACTTCATATCCTATTGGGATTCAGGGTCCTGACCCTGGGGAGAGAGTAGGCAAGGCCAAAACATGCCTTAAATTCCATTTTTCAGCTTGCACTAGTGCTGCCAAGAGTCTTAAAGCAACAGAGCCCTCATGCCATGGTGAACAGATCAGGTTAGAACAGCTCAGAGTCCTCTGTGGGAGTACTGCTATCTCCAGATCTGAATATTTCCCTAGTTTGTTGATTTGATTGTTAAAGGTTACCCTGTTCTCTAATATTTTCTCCTAGCAAACACAGTATGAGCAACTGGGGTGGAGGAAAAAGCTGTAGGCGTATTTGCTTTTAAGCTCAAGCTATGCAAACGTTGTTAGCATGAAATAATTTGGAAAATGCATCCCGAGACAACTGTGTGGCCAAGTATTTCTTGGTACTGCAGAGCTTAAGAGGGGAGAGATGCATGATCTGCATAAACCTTTCCCGGCAGAAAGCTTCCAACTGAGAGATGCTGTAGCTGTACAGCACAGGATGTGCTATTTCAATTTAATTTCCCTTTGCCCGGTCCAGAGCAAATTGGATAATACTAAATTTTGTTAAGAGTTTTTTTAAAATCTAATTGTCTCTAAAAGAGACTTGGCTGCTGAAAACCAAATTCAGGCACTTTAAAAAAAATAGGATTTATCCTGCCAATGGCACATTTGACACAAGGTCCTTCTGCAAAAAATAAAGTGGTACAACCTGTGGCTTTTGAAAAAGATAGAAAACCTGCAGAATACACAGAATAGGAACATCCTTTGTCCCAGTTTTTGAACCCTGAACTGAAGTCTCATATGTAGAAAAATGAAATGCCTCTAAACCTGAAAACTGGTTCTACTCAATAGTTTTAAACCCAGGAAAAGGAAAACAGGAAAGGAAAACAGGAAAAGGAAAAGGAAAACAGAGGTGCACTCCTCACCTGCACTTGATCTGTGCCAGATGCACACTCTTACAGCTTTGCACCTACTTCAGCACAGTCTAATCCCTAGCAAACTGGATGTGTACTGATGGGAAATAAATAGGCTTGCTACTGCAGTAATCTGATTGCAAGGCAAAGGATGCTCAGTCATATTTAGTGGTAGCCCTAGAAAACCTCTGTGTGAAAGATTGATCTGCTCATCACTGTCCTCTTCCCGAATAAGCGAAGGGACTTGCTGCTTCTGCCACAGCACACACTGGATGTCCTAGAATAAGCATGGCTTTATTGATGTCCCACAGCAATAACTACAGAATCTAATGTAGGATTCAGTAGCTTTAGCTGTTATGAATTTTCAGTTTTATTAAAAAAGAAAGAGAAGTGTTTCTAGCTCTCATTGTTGCAAAGAACCCCTTGTGGTTCTTTGCACTAAAGCTATGATTTTTCAATTAGACTTTTGTACTAGGTAAGATCTTGGGTCCTGTTTCATCTTTTCCTGGAGGCACTTCCTATTCCTATTTCCTCCTGTAATATGGATCAAAGATGTTTTCTTAGCATCTTTTGTAGGAACCAGCTTTGTTTTCAGCTGGTGGTAGTTTTGCCTTACTGCATCTATAAAATGGTGACTTACAAGTAGGCTGGACTATGTGTCTTCACAGAAAGTAGGGCATTAATGTTAAAGTGTATATGGTTCCTTCACTGCACTTGAGCAGAACTCTCTTTTTCCCTTTTCTTTGCCGATTGACAACCTCCATCCTTACCAACCTGAGAGTAGCAAATAGAGCTAGAACTACTTCTTCCTTCCTCCTTTTGGGACCAAAGAACAGGTGATGCCCTTTTCCTGCTCATAGGTTGAGCTGCAGGGGCAGCAATGGACTATTTTCCCTCCAAACACTGGGGATTAAAGCCAAGAGGCGGAGTCCAATCCAGGAACCTTCTCTTCCCTTAAATCTGGTTCCCCCAACCTGGTTCCCTCCAGATGGGTTGAACTGCAACTGTCACCAACCCCAGTTGGGTGAGGGCATTCCTTGTAGTTCAGCACATCTGCAGGACACCAGGTTGGGAAGGCCGTGTCAAGAGGTGCATGAGCACTGCAGGAAGAGGCTCACTGAGCCGAACCTGGGGTTTGCATATGATCAGATGAACTATCCCTGCAGTTCTAACACCTGAAACATGATGCTTGCAGTTTAAGCTAAAACACAGAAGGATGACTGGCTGAATTGGTGCTCCAGTGGTGATTGGGAGGGACTTCCCACAGTGCCTATTCCATGTTTCTCGGACCCATTCCTTAGAGAAGCATTTCAGTCTGGAGATGAGCAGGGGTAAAGGTTGACTTATCGGTGAACAGCTTCACTTTGGCAAGACAGACCTGTTCTCTTGTCCCGATGGAGTCTACGTGGTCTGCTGGCTTTCCATTTCCATTGTATCTGAATTTGCTGCCCACAGAGCTTGGAGTATCCAAATGTTCTCACACAGCAACAAAGAGAGGCAGACAATGGAACCGGTGAAAGGAAACAGAAAACAGTCCGTGTGCTTGTGGGCAGCTGTTTGTTTTAGGACAAGATCTCCCACTTCCTGCTGCTTTTCTACATGTGAACACTGCACTTGCCTGCAGATTTTTTTGCATGAGCCTTTATTTGAGAGATTCCAAGCCCCTCCCACACCTGCCCACTCTACTCTGCTGAACTTCGTAACTGTTGCTAGTCAAAGTCTGCCAAGGAAAGAAATGAAACTCAGGCTTCGCCATTCTATTTTTTGATTTCTTGGTCAGTTTAACCCCTGAATTGCGTATGTTTGCCTTGATCCACTCAGGCTTCTCTTGTGTGCATGACTCGATCCACTTTGCCTTCTCTTGCAAAAGACCAGATACATAAGTACCTCTCAAAATGCAGTTTTTACCACTTCCCTCTCCCAGATCTAATCTCTCCATCAACAGTCGACCTAACTACAGTGGTCACGACTGTGGCCCCCACCACAGAAGTTACCACTACAACCACCACCACCACCACCACCACGGAAGCCACCACGACAACCACCACAGAAGCCACCACCACCACCACAGAAGCCACCACCACCACCACCACCGTGGAAGCCACCACCACCAGAGAAGCAACAACCAGCACCACAATTGTTGCTAGTACAATAGGTACCATAACTGAGGAGATTGCGGTTGTGTTTTCCTCATTCCTTTATGTTAGCTATGTGAACCATAACAGGATCTGCTCAGATTCTTGGAGAGATTGATCCTAGACAGCACAGGTGAGAACCCAGATTTTGAGGGTTACCACCTCTGAGGTCAGAAACTGTTCTCTGCCTTTGGAGCTGGGAAGCAGAGCTCTGCTCCTCCTCACCTGCCCCCTCACAGCTGGCATAGGAAGAACTGCAGCCACTGCTCTCTGGAGCTGGGAAGGTGACCTTGGGGAAGCATAAAAAAGGATGTTTTGTGAGAAGAGGAGACAAGGGAAGCCAGGAAGCAAGGTACCCTGAAGTCACTCCAGTCTCCGTCCTTCCCTTTGTAGGTCACTCCTACTAGATGGGCAAAACCCATTTAGTGAAAATGCAGAGCAGGAGGATGGGAAGTGAAGTCCACCTCCATTGCCTCTCTCACCCTGTACTGGATGCCCATAACCCTCTTAGTTTGGGGTCTTACAGGTATCTCCATAGGGTTGTGCCCTAAGCCTATAATTAAGGCTTAACATTAATGTATAGATGTTCGTCAAACACTGACCATAGCGATTCTCTCAATACTATGCCAATCTCCTAGCAACAAATGAAAATAAATCCTTGGGTTGTGCATTTGGAGGAAGCTTGGTTAGCTTTGATCAAGGTTCTCCAATTAATCTTTGGAGAAACAGATGCACCTTAAAAGCCAAACACTGCCAGTCTTGACGTGAACTGAATTCCATAAGACTTCGTATCTTTGGTCCCACTAGAGACTGCTACAGAGTATCTGGCTTGAGCAGTCCCTAAATCCCCTTGTCCAAATTGTGACATGTATATACATAACTCAATACTAGTCACTGAACATGGAGCATCACAAATTATATTTTATTCATGTTAATACTCCCGCCTAGTTATTATGGGGTGAACATCGAAATGCCATCTGTTTGCTTATTTATGTGCATGCTTGACCAAGGATCGTGTCTGGCAGCAACTCCAAATTATTTATAACTCTCCAAGGCACACTGAACATTATTGATAATTTAATTTAGCAGCTTCTGTCAAGATCCAGACAGCCCTTTCAGCACACACAAAGCTTTAGGAGGAATTCTTAGGAGGGATTCTTGCGATGCCAAAAAGGCATCTTTCTGGCCCAGATTTCTGAGGTGACATATCAGGAAGAGCAGAGATCTCCTATTAACTCAGAGAACTTGTGGCACTCAATTGTTCTGATCCAAATGCACTTTAGAGTATAGGAAAACTGATCAGCAGAACCATGTCAAATTGCAATGCACAGAGAAAGTTCATCATTAGCCAAAGCCAATTGTGATGCCAATTTAAAAGGTGGCATCGTTCACTGGAAAAAGGAACAGGAGATGTTTAATTCCATTCTGATGAGAAAGGGAGAAATTCCCATACCTTTGTTGAGGCTAGTAAAAGCAGTGATCTGATTAACTCAGTTATGCACCCCCTTCATCATGGGGTGTGCCAAGTCCCCTATGCCAGTGTGCACTCCCCCCACTGACTGCAAAGCTGCTCTACAGAAGATTTTTGTTAACAAGCAACAGCTGAGACTTTTAAATAATCAATAGCAGTGACATCCTTAAGGTCTCAAATTACATACCCTGGGGTGGTTGCTGACTAATAGGCTATGCTGCCCAGCACTTGACTGATAATCCAGCTGCTCCTGAAGCAGCATGAGATCTTAAAAAAAAAAAAGCAGAACACCTTATTTGAAAGTGCCTGCAGCAGTTGGCTACTCCCATGCATGCAACAACAACAACCGGACACTTGTGTAGAGTATTTCAGGGGATCAGACCAAAACACAGGTCTTTCATGGCAGAAGCACCATTTCAACAACGGAGTTCCAAGATCACAACTCAGTCACTTAGCTGCTGTGCTGCACATCATTTTATACAGAAGGAAGACCCAGTGAGTGCTTTTGCTGGCCACTTTATTGCAAAAGAACTACTTCTCAGGGCAGCTGTTCTTGGATGAATTGATTTTGCAAGATGTATAACAAAACTTTCACTTTAGGTGTGGGAAAGCACTGTAGAAATATTCTTCAAGGTAAATTTATTTTCCTTTAAAGAAAAGAACACTTGATTTGGTTACAGTGGACAGAAAATACAATGGATCAAAATTTCTGACCAGATCATTGCAAGTAAATCTACATCAACTGAATAGAAATACCTGAGTACTGAAATAGGAATGCTTCAAGAAAATATTTTCTGGCTATGAAGTATTATTTTATTTATATGCATAGGATAACATAGCCATCTTATGGCTTGAAATAACCTTGCAGTCTTGGAGAGGAGTTTAAAGCAAACAATGGTACTTCTGATTAAGCCCCACCTTCAAAAGTCTTGTATGCATGGAGTCCCATTGGAGTCAATGAAAATACTTGTGTATATTTTAAACAAAGATGTACAAACCTGGTGTCTGGCTTTCAGCATGAGATTTCTCAGCTACTCCCCAAAACCAAATGTTGCATAACTGAGCATGCAGTGATAATCTATGGGCCAAGGTATCAAATTTCAGTCATTTTAAGATGAATCTGGGTTTGTTAGAAATAGAAATAACTTCCGATAGAGATCTAAAGATACAATAGAGGAAAATGCCATCTTCTTAAGTCACTTTATATAGTGGCTATGTTTGCTGTGCTCTCATTGCAAATACATAAAGACTTCTGTTACCTAATGTGTCCTGCAAAGCATATTGACAAGAACATTTTTCCCCAATTTGTCTGATATTAAAACAATAAGTAGGTGTATGTTAATGGGCACTGAAATTCACCTTGGCTTGGTGCAATATTATGCACAAGATATGTTTAATAAATCTCTATCCCTTTCTATTTAAGTGAACTAGTCAGAGCTGCTGCTGCATCCAAGTCATTAAAGTCTTGGGCATCAGCAGCCCATTTATCTGAAAGGAATTAAGTGGGCAGATAATATGTTAGCTTTCATTATACATTAGTGCTTCAGTATTAAGAGTCTCATCCAGGTTACCAAATGCAAACACTGGATTTATCCATCAAGATGCCCATAAGCAGCATTCATGGCATGTCATGATAAATCTTGTGAAGTTGCTTTGAAACTCTTCCCCAGTATTTAAGGCTCAGCCAGAACGGTAGCTTCTCCCTCCATTTGGATCAGCAGTGTTCAAAGAGGAATGCAGACAGTATTCCAAGGAAATGTGCATGTTGTCCCCTCCTAGAAAGGGTGTCCCCAGAAACACACTGAGCTTGGAAATTTATACAACCCAGATTAATGGAAGAACTAGTCCTGGGAGAAGAGGTACCTTAAAACAAACAAACATACTATGCAGGACAAACGAGTTCCCTGTTTCTTTTGTGACAAAGCAGAAAGTGATGTTCCTTGGCTTTAACAACTGGTTGTGCTGTTTTCAGGAAGCAGATTTTGAGAAGTGAGACATGCTCTTCTCTTAACGCAAAAAGGACACCAACTGCAGTCCAAATGAGTTCCATTAATGGTTAACTGAAGTTCTGTTCTTAAATCTCTGTATAATGATACATACAATCTATCTTGCACCCTTACCCATATATAAGAGTGGCTGGCAGGAAAAGATCGGTTTCCTTAGCCATTTGGAAACAGCTCAGAACAGTGAGTGACAGGTAGAGGGGAAGGAGAAGGGGAAGAGAGCTTTTAAAACTAGCATATATGTAAGCAGGGGTGGCTTTTTATTTGATTTATTATTAGAAGCATATATCTGACCTTGATGCTTCAAAGGACATGTTCAGATAGACAAAAAAAGTTCCTGTCTTTACTAAGTGGCATATTGTTTGTGCTGCCAATTATGCATTACCTATGTGAAATTAGTGTTGTTAGACCATCCAGAATCTGTTACGCACCATACTTGGTGTTTCTTTGACTACATGTCCATATTTTCCCTCAAAAGAAAACGAATCATAAATGTGACATTGCAATGCACCTTGTTGTGATCTAGTTTACTAACCTCTGTTCTAACCTGTTCCCCAGCTGGTGTTGGAAAACAGCCCATCTGGGATGTAAAAGCTTCTCCTAACAGTAACTTGGCAAACATCACCTGGAACCACACGTTTGATCCAGAAACGGAGTTTGTGGTTGAGTATATCAACAGTAAACACTGGGAGCACGAGAATGCTGCAGGATCCTTAATGCCACCAGAGATCCTGTCATCTCTCAGAGGTTTAATGGACCTTTCGTGTCATGTTAATTGTAGTGTAACTAAAGCTGCTGCTTTATTTGTGCATGAAGTGCTGCTTGCGGGGATGGGAAGTGAGGGTGTTTAATTCGCCCTTCAGCTGGGATTGTATTTGATGTTGCAGTCTCTGAAATGCAGCAGAGGTGTCAGAGCAATGCACCCGACAGGATCTGCTGTGATGGCTGTGGGGTGCCACAGAACCGCTATAGAAAGAGACTCAGAAGTCTAGGAAAGCAACCATAGCTGAACGGTCTGGGGCTGAACAGTAATAATTGTGTTTTGAGACTGATGCTCTCAAAAAGACCCAAGCAGATGTAGCTGAATATGAAAGTCTTATTGACACTTTTCAGGAAGCAGTGACCAAAGACTGTATATGTAAATTTTGTTTTCAATGTATTAATGCCTCACCCTATTTCCTGCTTGTTTGTTGGAGTTAAATCTAGCAAGCCATGCAAACTTTAAAGTATGCTCATGCTGATTAAAGACCTGAATCAAATACCATCTGGTTTTATAGCCTTCTGGATAAGTTATATGTCTTCTCTAAGGTTTTAGCTTGCAGGCAAATCCCTATTTACTATTCCTTGCATTTGTTCCTGAAAAGCATGTGCTACATCTCAGTTTTTGTTTTTTAATAAATAATCAACCATTCTGCCCTCTGAGAATTGCACTTGCAAGCACGGCTAAATATAAAGTATTTGGGGCTATGCTTTACCTCGGGCAAAGTTTAGGGGATTCCTCTGCGGCCTTCTCAGCTGGCTGCTGTCCTGTCCTGGGGGAAAGGATAAGACACTTTCTCTAAGACACCTCCCAATTCTACAATTATAAAGTAGGTCTGTGAAATCCTGCTGCCTGGATGTCCCTTTTAAAGACACCAGGGTTTTCAGTCCTTCATTCTGACATTCTCAAAAACCCGGCCATTGCCAACAAAAGGATTTCAGTGATTTTCAGCACCTCTGTGCCATCACAGATTAGGGACCTCCTTGCCAGATGCTGTGCTTCTGGTCATACAGCACCTAAATCCATGACTAAAGCTTCTGCAGTAGGAATTACTGCAATTTCATAGGGCTTGCTACACACAGGGTTTCAAAACAGCTGTTGGTTTTATTTGCATTGCATGCGAATGATTTTAAAAGACTGCATTTAATATAATTTAATATTCTGATTTGTTCACATGTTCCGAGTTAAGAATTTAGAAATGATGTTCTCGCTTACCCTTTACAACCTGCATTGCAAGAGCACTTTTTATTCATAATAAGCATGCTGACAGGGGGGAGATAGTTGCTACTAACTCAGCACATTTGGCACCTGCAAGCTGAGTAAGGACTGTGCCAGTCCCTTCCTGTTCAGAGGAGAGGGTTCCTAGAGACTATTACACAGAAGCCTCTTATTTCTTTTCTGGGTAGTTTTTACTTCTTTCTTTTTTTGCACTCTGGGTATTGTATCAAATGATTAAAGCAGTACTGTGAGAAGTTTCCAGCTGGTTTCAGCCTAGGGATAATGTAGCAGGTGCTCAATTAGGTTAGTTAAATGATGTCTTCAAAATTCATACCCCTGCAAAGTAGTGAAGTGAGCAGGTTTGCACAGCTTTTGTAAACCAGCCCTTGAACTTTGAATTGATGTTGCCTGAGATTCCAGGCATCCACCTTGCTGATATATCCTCTATTCCAGGGAGGCAACCTGGTGCCCTCCAGATGTTTTCTACTACAATTCACATAAATTCCAGCCAGCACAACCAATGGTGAGGAATTAATTGCCACAGAAAACATCTGGGGGGTTGGGGGGTACCGGCTTGCCAAAACGTATTTTGTTGTTGTCAACAACAAGGACATGTGTCAACTCAGTAACCCAACTTGATGTTAGTGGCATTTGCCTACACAGTAATCTTTGGTTTTTTTCCTGCAATCTGCCTTTGATGTGAGGTTTCTATTTCTCAGGTAACAAAACAGTGAAATCTTTCCTTGGTAAAGCATTTGTGGAGCTGGTTGACCTGACTCCCGGGGAGAAGTACCTAGTGCGGGTTTTTCTCAAAGGGAATGATACTATCAGCTCGAACGTAACCTTTCAGACAAGCCCAGGTGAGATGGGGCTGAGCCCCCTCTGTGTGATGCATTGTAGAGGCGCATTCCATTCTGAGCTTGACTGCTTCTTCATGATGCTTCTTCAGATGGGAAAATTAAGGCATGCATGGAGAAAACTTCATCAGCTCCTTTGCTGACATTGCTCCCTCTGCCCTTATTATTCAGCTATCAAAATTGAAATGTATCAACTTTAACGGGGATTTTAGATTATGTTCTACTTGTAAAAAAGAAATAATTGCGCTTTCAGCAGAACTTGTTCTGTTTTTAAAGATACACATTTGCTTTTGGAAGAAGATGCTTTATAAGAAGGGCAGGCTCAAAAATGAACCCTCTGGCTAAGGGCGCTGTGGCTTCCTGGATGTACATGTTTCCCTTTGTATGTGCTTTGCATTGCTCACTGTCCTGTTGCCGGCTGTTGCATGAGCACATGCAATTATATGATGGCTGTTGTATCTGGGTGTTCATGCGAAAATTTTGTAAAGGTTAATATTGGATGGTGGATTTCTCTGCAGGAGAAATAGATAAGCTGCATGTTCATGGTAACAAATGAAGTAATTAATAAATTCATAAAAAGAAAACTAATACATTAAGTCATAAACAGTAAATTAAGAATCAAACCTATTTACCTTTGTAGAAAGTTACTGTATATCATCTTTGTATTCCTTATAGAGGTTGCTTCTACACAGGGCCTTTTCTCCCATCTCTTCTGTCAATTTTATGGGGAATTCAGGTTATGATTTTGTAAGATCATTGCATTCCAGTAAGGTTTGTATTGTTTTCCATATCTGTTCAGATCTAATTGTTGGTTTCTTCTTCATCTCCCTTCTTTTCCTCTACATCTCCTGGCAGTAGAAAAGTTTGTAGTACCAACCTGTCCAATATATAATGACAAAGTGTTTACTAGATTTTTCAGAGTTGCCTAAACTTTATTGAAGGCTTCCTAATTGCTATTTCACTAGTTAAGAAATAAGTTGATTAAGGGGCAATTCACTAATCTTCTGGTCGTACTGAATAGGAAGCAATAAATGGCGTATGGTCCAAAGAAACTGCAACCATTTCATCATTTCCTCATTCATGAATTGACCGTGGAAGAATTGGGGAAAACACAGGAAGATTATGAATTTAAGATGTCATTTGGACCCCTGTAACATTTTCTGAATGAGGCTTAGTGAGTAAACCTTATTTAAGGATTATGGTCAAAGGGAAGGGTGTTGCTGGATGGAAGAGTACTATATTAAATGCAGCACTGGCCCTTGATTTTCTGTTTACTTCTAGCTGCTTGTGGAAACAGTGCCTCAGTCATGTTCTGGTGGGAAAGCCATCAGACCTAAGTTTATGCATTCATCTTTCTGAGCTTTCATTTCCAGATTTTGAGGAGTATTCAAACCACCTACACAAGTGCTGTTTAGGTCTGAGCATCATCCCATCCCAGTTCATTCATGGGATAAGTGATCCATTACAATAGCTCCTTTTGTAGAAGCATCTAACCAGAGAAAAGTGCAACTTCTATATAAGAAATACTTGGCATCCATTCTGAAGAGTGCCCCAGTAGAGAGAATGGGATTACCATTGTGTAACCAAGCTGCCCATTTAACTCAAGCAAGTTTTTAAAATATACAACAACAAAGCTTATGCTGGGATAAAGAGAAGGAGAAAATGTGAAAGCAAATGGAACGATAATGACAACGAGGCTGCTGCTGCTGATGATCTGACAAGATCCTCAAAGTGAGCACTGGACAAAGCAAAGAAAAATATGCAGGCCCTGCCCAAGTGACTTACATTTTTATTTAGATAACTAACATGGAACATAAAAAACCTTAACACTAGAGGCCAAAAGAAGTAGCCATAGGCTGCTTCTACTGAAATCAGAATATTAGAATAGCCTAAGTATCCCCTTTTTAAGACATTGATCTCAAAAAAAGGTGAAGAGAAGTCAATAAATAAATATCAACAAGTAAAGAGGAAAAGAACTAGTGGCATTAAATAGAGGTAGGAAATTAAAAAGTGCCAAAGAAACAGAATACCAAGCTCAAGGAGCAGAACATCAAAAATGTGAGATGAAAGATGAGTAAGAGCTAGAAAATGAATTTATTCAAAGGTATATAACACATGGAATTTGAAAAGAAAAGGGTAGCTAGTGAAGAGAAATCAAGACCAGAGAAGCAAAATCATACATACAATATGGAGGGTAGCAGAATGCAAAACAGAAATGAAAGTACTCAGGTAGAAATAAAGATGAATTAAAAAAACACTACAGTAATTAACCCAAGAGAAAATAAAAGAACAAGCCATATGAGCAGAATCAACAGGAAAATAATGAATTGTAAGCATTAAAACAGAAAATGGCAGGGGTACTTAAGAAGGAAAAAAAATAACATTTAAAAGAAACCCTCTCACTTTCTCTAAGAGAGCAAAAGTTATTTTTCTGGGAAGAATCCAGAACAAAGGTTAAATAGAAAATACCTGGCAGTCTTTTCTTAGAAAAAAACAGAAACCAATCCTTCATATGTCTGAACATATCAAAGCACTGGATTAAACACAGTTGTGCAGTTGAAACCCACACATCCACTCATAACTTACATCCCATAAGGAGAGAGCTGCTGGATGAAACCAGCAGCCAGTCCAGGACATCCTGTTTGTCTGTAGCTGCCCAACAGCAACTGGCTCTTTTCTGCTTTCTGGAGAATTATAATGTCTTCACATGAGCCACTCCACAAGCTATTGTGCAAGCAGGATTGCAACCTTTGCCTTTGGGAATCCAAGGTTTATGTCTCTGCATAATTTCAGCCCTTCCGGTGTATTTGGATGCTTGATTTGAATGGCTGATTTTGTTTTTCAGCTGGGAATAGTTTTACTTAATAAGCTATAAATCCCTTTTGCGTACTTCTAGAGAAAAGGCAGGAAGTTATTTTCCCTTGTGTCTCCCTTGTGTCTGCATATAGGAACTCTGTTTCCTAAATCTGTATGGTTATGGACTGTGTGAGTGCCTTCAAGGACTTAGCTGGGAGGATCTTCCAGTGATTGTCTGTAAAGCTTTCACTTTTTGTGAAAGTTCCTGTTAATATGCACACAGTATAAACCTACAACCTTTCACTGAGCTGTATTAAGAAAGTTGTTCTGTCTCTTTATAGCTTTGTGTATCCACACAGTACCCCTTTGAAGGGAGACAGATCTGTGTAATTCTCTCTTTTTCTTCATGTTCACCTGCAAATTCATGCAACAGTTACCTTCTCCCTGTCTACTGCCAGCAGTAGTCACAATCTGGGACTAGCATGGTTCATATAGCACCTGCGGTGGGAGAAAAACATTGAATGTGCACGTGTTTTCCCCAGGCCTGGGTGGCATGGATAATGGCATCCTTTGGTTTGTAGTGTAAATAGGGAAGGCTAAAACACTGCATGACGCATGGCTTTCCGGAATCAGATATTGCGAAAGAGCATGTTGTGGCCAGCCAAATCCCTTTCTGCAAAAGTGACTCAGGAAGGGCCTTATTCTGTTCCTGCCACTCTCATTTGTCTTATTTTGTGGGGGAAAGAAAAAGGAATTCCCTGCATGACATAAAAAAGAAATTTAATTTCTGGAGTGCCACAGCCTGGGTCTCCTCTTTTGATGGTCACATGCATATGCCGTGTCTTCAGAAAAAGTCTACATGTTCCACATCATTACACAGTGATGAAGACTTCTAGGATGTATGCTTTATTCCTCTGATGTATCTCAAATGACCGCCTGAGCCACATTATTTTAGTGACCTCATTTCTCTTTGCAAAGCCTCTTGTCTTTTCATTCCTTTTCTCTTCCTGGCTGGATGTTTCTGATGGTAGAGATCAGAGCCGGTAGGTCCATCATGTGCCATCTTTAATACCTGTGACAAGACAGCACTATCCATTTTCTTTCCAGTTATTTTTGAAATCCTCTGTTCTAGCAATTGCATTTTATCTCAATGGAAATTGAACTAACAATGCTGTTCCACAGCTGCTGTTTCTTTGCATTCACCGCTGGTGCTGTTGAGTTTTTGGTTAATCAGAACAAAGCTTTGCAGTATTGAGTGATATTCTCTACACAAATGTAGCTGGGTGAAGAAATAATGTAACAGCCTGTCTTTTGCAATGTTGTAATAGAGATACCAAATGGCACTATCTTGATACCATATCATACACAAAATGCAAGCTTAGTAGCTACATTTGGCTGATTTCTCTTTCTACATATGCTATTATGTAGTACACCTTTTCCATGTCACCACATTTTATCATAAATAGGTAATTTATATGTATACAGACATACAGCACACACCTGCAGAACCAATGCAACAATATCTCTCTAAATTACATCACAGAATACTGGCTTAAATGGCACTTTGGTCCACAGCAATCCAACCTCACACTATTATTTTTCATGTATCCTAGTTTCAGGCTGAGACATTCAAAGATTATGAGAGGCATTAGAATGTTTAATGTTCAAATGAATCCTAAGCTTTAGTTATCAAAACTGATTTGAACACATCAACCTAAAGCTGGTTGATCTCGACAGCTTTCTGATGGCCAGGGGGAAATTTCCAGTTGATCATGTTGGTGGTCCTGTCAAAGACCTGAACAACCTATTGAGCAGAAGACTGACCTCGGTTGTTGATGCAAACCACTCTAGGACACCCTTGGTCATTGAGTCAGGCTAAACTGTTTTCTGGAATACCAGAATGATTGGTGAAGGTGCAGAAATGGCAGCTAAAGCACAAACAGAAAAAGACTTTGGATGAGTTCAGCTGAACACACAGGCGCTCCCTCCATGCATTTATCAGATGAATGGTGCTCTGTGTTGGATTCTTTGCTCTCTCTGTATAGTTGCAGCAAGCCCTTTGCCAACAGAAAACCTGATTCTGTCCTTTTACAGCAACGTAAATGCAGGCTTGTGCCACAGTTCTTACTATGGCATCCTGTTTAGTCTCTACTCCATTTTCCTTTAAAAGCAAGGGAAGATCCATTCTATCTAGAACTTAGCTAAAGCAAGGCTGCACTAAATTTAGGGACTGTTTGGCTCACTTCAGGGCCCACACAGGTCCAGGTGGAAGCACTTCTAGTTTACCTGTTGCTGCTGCATTGGTACCCAAGATGATTCATATATCCATAGGCTCTGCAGGTATCAAAAGATCTGACATTTTACAAATGAGATTTAATTTTGTTGGAACAATTGTATTTGGCATTTGTTACATTGTAGTCTTGGCATTGCCTGGGGGAGGGGGGGAGGGTTTTCCGAATCTGCAAGGAAAAGATCCTTGATTTTAGTACCACCAAGACCACTTTTTACTTTATTCCATATGTCAATTTATCTAAGCTGTTACAGTTCCATTGTATCTCTTAAGATTCATTACTTCTCTTCTTCTCTTGAAAGCTTTTCTATGTTCATAGCATTAAAAGAATCATTGCTTGCTCTAAAGGCCTTGAGAGCATAATTTTATTCCCCCTATCCCAGTTCTGTAGATTCAGTTAGCCTAATGCAATTCTCACATCCATGCAATTAGTATCTTGCTTCCTCCATTAGAAAAACTTCATAGGTTCAAAGTGCGCTTTGCTCCCACGGTAGAGCTTTTAGCAGCAAATGCATGGTAAATCAACTGGCACAAGTGACTGGGAAGAATGTCAAAGTGCAAAGGCCAGGCGGGGCACCTGGCACTTCTTGAGTCAATTAAAGTTGCTCATGCCTACCGAAAAGCATCAGTGGATGATACTCAGCAGCTTTCCACAACCTGGTGCCCTCTAAGTGTATTGATTGCTTCATCCATTGTATTCTGCCAGCATTCCCTGGTGCCACTTCCAGTGGGCACCAAGCTTGGAAAGCCACCTACGGAGGTAGACCCTTCCAGATGGTCCTAATAGTGTCATTCCACTAGCACAAGCAGCATTGTGCTAACAGAAACTGAGCTCTGAACGGAGCGCAGTGGGAGACTCCCACAGAAGTTTAAGTGGTGCAAACAGGTGTGCAAATGCTTGGAGAATTTCCATTCACACAGCAGTGCACTGGCACTTGCACAAGAGGAAAGGCCAGTGGAGCAGTACTAACCCAGCAATTTATTTCTCTGATAGCATGCTGTATTTAGGCTGGCAAATTTTAAACCCTCCAGAATGTTCCCCTCAGCCTTTTGACTGGAGATGCGGGAGACTGAGCTTTGGGCCTTCTGGATGGAAAGTGTGTGCTCTACCAGTGGCCCTTCTTCAAAGCAATAGTAGTGCACTTCACCTTTTTACCCTTCAGTGGTTAGAAGCTTGAAATGTCAAGAAGGAGTGTCTATGCATTAGTCAGCTTGCAATGGATTCCTGGGTGTCGGGGCCCAGTGAGAGCCATGGGTAGCAATATAAAATCCAGAATCAGAACACGTGTTCTGCCCTGCAAGGTCCCTAAGACCAGTTCAATGTGTGAGGTTGCCAGTTCTGTTCCCCAGTGAGCTTGACACTTATAACTCCTTGCCATCCTTGAAGAAAATCTGAAGCTGATTATAGGGGGGCTGGGAATCAATACAATATATTCATATATATGGCTGAAATTAAAAGGGAGGGTGGCCTATAATACATGTCCATGTCTTCCTATAATTACATTCTTGTTGTAAGTCTTGCCAAATGGAGCACTTAATGTGAGTAGATCCAGGCAGAGTCTGACAAATGTCTGTTGGCAACGAACATAGACTGTGTCTTCATTATAATGTTGGCAGAGCTTCAGTACTATGTGGCTCTGCTATTCTTCCATTAGTGCTATTCAGAATATTTTTAATTTATTGTAGATAACTGGGAAGCTGCTTATGCATGTTACTTCCTACTGGAGTTTGGATAAAGCCATTAGGTTATGGTCTAATAGCACAATTCCAGTTTGATTCACTGGGAGGAAAGAAATTATCTCATTGATTTTTGAGTAGAGAATCTAACCATTAAGCTCTTTCGCAATTTGGTCTGAGTGAATCATTCCCAGGATGTAGCTCGCATACAGTCGTGATGATTTGTGTTTTTCTGTGAAGTTGAAAATGTACTAGTGTTGCCTGAGGTGCTTTTAAATGTCTGATCTTTTAGTAATCTAGGATGATCTTTGCCTAAGAAAATCAAGTACTTTGAAAGCTAGCAGTTATCATCATTAAACTTTTATTCATATAAGATACCATTTTATTCATATGTAAGTAATGCCTCCTATTTAAAATCCAATGGACAGTTTGGCAATATATATTATTTTCATAACTAGGTGAGTAGATATCTATCATTTTCTTTTTCATTGAAAATCACCAACAAAATACATTCTCTGTATTAATAGTTTGGAATTCATTTAGCTTCAGGGCTTTGCTCCCAATTTTTGTATAAATACAATAGCTATGCAGCTACATTTGTAGTGCAGGTTCACAACATTTAACCCACACCCTTCTATTTTGTTGAACGTTTTCTCCATTTTGCAAAACATATCAGGTTGGATCCAGACCCAGATGGTGTAACCAATGTGTAACCAATGGAACATGTTGGCCATGACTAAAGTCCCATAGATTAGTCTGCATCCCACTCCTGATATATGCAAGTTAGAAAAACTGAGAAGCTTCAGAACAGAATATGTTTTGCTTTTTTCCTGACCTTCAAGTACACTGGACATACGGTGCAGTGACTGAATGTTAAGCTCCAACATCTCACCATGGAATACTACCGAAGTGTTCTGTTGAGTGTAAAAAATATGGACGTTAGCCACTTGTAGCATGAAAAACAACAAAACAGTATCGTGTTCACTGTATTTTTCAACAAATCCCACCCAAAGATGATGCTTCAACAGAGAGCAGTATTGAAACAACCAGTCCATGCCCGATGTCATCGCTCAGGGTTGGTTACCTCCTGGGACCCAATTGCCCAAAGAGGTATTCACTCCCAGCATCTTTGTGTGTACGTATTAGAGTTCCATGTGTGTTGCTTAAGCCAGCCTGTTGCATTTACAGCCGGTCACAGGCTGCAACTGGACCAAGGAGTCAATAAAAGCTACTGGGAAGAGGTACGATCGCATTTTAAATGACTGCCATCTTAGGCTTTGTGTCCTTTCCATGGAAGGAGAGCACTGACCAAACAATGAGAGAACTCTGATCAGGTTGATTTTTCTGTAGTAAGGCGGTGAAGAAGAGGATGTATAGGGAAGGATGTGCATGGAGGTGAATAGGGGGCAACATTCATTGCTGTTACCCCTCCCTCTTGTTTTAATCTGTGTCAGGACAAATGCACATGGTGTCGTCATGGATTATGCCTTTGTCCCAGAGATTCACCAGTCGCTTTCTGAATTGCTATAAATGTTATGGTAATGGCAGCAGCTGGATCTTGATAGGTCCAAGTTAAGCTGACAAAGTGAACAGAGAAAAGGTGCTTAATCCTAGCAAGAATCCAAGATGGGCAAAAGCTAAAAACTATCTCAGTTAAATCCTACAATAATTTCCAAAAGGAGTTTAGTCTGTAAATGATTCCCTCTAGCTTTGATGCCAGTTGGCAGTATTTGGGACATTGAACATGTTGGGAAGCCATTTCTACTTTTTAATTATCATTCTAGCTACATGCCAGACGAAGGTGAAGCCTCCTTTGGAGAACTTTTGCACCTCTTTTGAGGTATCACCCACAGCATTTCCTAGTCCAATAAAGGAGAGATCAGATCTGTTACCTGCTTCTTCAGCTCCCACTACCCCATTTTATATACGCTTCCTTTATTGGGCAATAGCACATTTTATTTCTTCGCCTCCCCCTGCTCCACCACTCCCTGCTCCACCTTTGACCTTCCCTGCTGCCTTAAAGTTGCATTGCTGCTGTTACTGGTAGAGTCTGGGTTGTGATGCACTCAGGAAATAAAGGTGGGGTGCAGCATAACTTCTCAAATCCAAAAGAGGTGATTGCGCGCATACACACACACACATGTGGAGGTGGGAAGAGAGAGTAGGAAGACAGACATGGAGAGAGAACAGTCCTGAAAATGCGACAACTGAACATGGATGGGATACAGAAAACCCAAGAGCCTTGATCTGCTGTTTTCATTTCTCTCTAGCATGTGGATCAGTTCTATTAACTCTTCTTTTTCAACTCCTCCTGCTAGCATACACCAGGAACCAAGGGGACATTGCAACTCAGGGCTGGTTTATTGGACTGATGTGTGCCATTGCTCTTCTGGTCCTGATTTTGCTGATTGTTTGCTTCATTAAGAGAAGCAGAGGAGGGAAATACCCAGGTAAGGGAAATGTCTGTTTGGTGCATAGTGATTGCCTTTTATTGTCTTTTGGAGAATTTAATCCCGAATCTAATTAGACTGGTCGGAATGTTAGCCTTCACACTGAAAGGATTTTTTCCTACAATTCTGACTATCCTGGCACATAAAAGAACTAATCCCATTAAAGGCAAGGCAAAGAGGATTTCCTGCAAAGTAGAAGGTGATACCTTTTTCCATTACCTTTATTAAGATTTTCCTTTATACCTGCTAAATGTGTTGGCTCGTTCTGTATTTTGTGAACACAGAAAATTTCTCTTGCAGAAATTATTCCAATGCATGTTTTAAAAAACGGGAAAATGTCTAAGCAGTACAACTTTCCCTGTGTCTTTTCTTTTGCACACTATGGCTTTTAATGACCACCATGTCCTCTCCCAAGAGCTGGAAACATGTTGAGTGCAAGATGGCTTGCAGGCCATTCCTGAAAGATGCATAAAGGTCTATTGCAGGACACTTGCTCACTATCACTCCAGTGTGTGAGAATGATAAGCAAGTTCCAGGGACACAACTATTTCCAAAAGTAATAATGTCCCACCTAAAGTGCTTGTTCACTTATTAGTTCAAAAGCAGGACTGGAATTCCCAATCTCATGCCAGGCAGATTAGCTGAATTACCTTTGGCAGCATGGCTTGTCATGTTGTGTGAACCCAGCCAGGGAGACTTGTAGCCATGGTTAACAAGTTACCCAGAACTCATGTGCTGTTGTAGAATTCTGGGGTATCTGAATTCTGGGGTAGAATTCTGCTTGCTATCCAAAGCAATGAGCTACCCTGGCTGGGCTCACATGACATGACAAGCTGACTTGCCACAAGTTAATATGCTAATCCCTTTGACATGCTACTGACCTGTGCAGAGCGGGAAATAAGACACGTTGGCTTATTTCCCCCTCTGTGATCATCTAACCAATGTGACTTGAAAATAATGCAAAGTTATTTTAAGTCTCTGTTATACCTGGCCACTGGGTTTGGAGAGAAAACCCTCACTCTTTTCAGTTAAGGATATACATGTGCATTTAGTTAACAGTGTGTGTGTGTGTGTGTGTGTGTGTGTGTTGCAAAATGGTACATGTGACTGTCCATCTGAAAAAGCTTATTCAAAGTGTGATAGTGGAATGCCACAGAAAAGCTCTTTATACAACTATATTGGGCATACAAGCAGTTCTAAACCTGTTAACGGTATATAATGCCACATCATGACAGGAATCCTACAGTTCAAGGATGTCCCAGGGACCAGAGGATTTTGCAGCTCTCTCTCCTGCCACAGACAATGTTCCTTTCCAGACCTCTCTGTTGTGGACATGGAAATCTTTGCTGGACTTGCTGTTCAAACTGGTGGTGTTGACAAAGGATGGCATGCCAGGGCAGACTGGGGGATTCTTCTGATAGCAGTGTTGACTTTTTAAGGACTGCATCCAAATAATACTGTAGCCGCAGTTATAACAATAAAATACACAGGTGTTCATATCTTTCTAGCTCATAGGACAGTTTCTCAACAATTCTAAACTCATAATAATATGTGCTACTGTATGATCAATTTATTTCAGTTTCTCACTCCAGCATGTAATCAGCATGACCATTTTGAGCCAGGTTTTCCATGTGCAAGGAATAGTAATGAATACTAAAGTGGCATCAGGCAAGATTTTAAGAGGATTGAGGTCACAATCCTGCTCACTCTAAGATTCATGCGTATCATATTTGAAGTGATCAGGAAAGACTTTATAAGTTCATTTGCCAACCACTGTGCTTTACCAAGCAAGGTCCCCCTGAAATCAATCCCACTGTCCAATAACTCTCCTGCTTCATATCTTTTGCATCTGTTCTGATGTTCAATCAGCTGCAACATAACATATATTGGTGGATTAATGGTGCAATTCAAAGCATATGACTCCGAAGATGGTCCTGCTGAGATCTAAGACACTTGCTTCTTTGTAAGCATTTAGGATTGCAGCCTTGAAGACATGAAAGTAAGACTTGTTCTTTTTAGTTTGTAATTGATTGCATATATCTTCACAGTGAGAGAAAATAAAGATGTGCCTCTGGACCCTGATGACCAGAAGGTAGATAATGGGTCGTTTGATTACAGGTATGTTTCCTGTTTAACATATATGATAGGAACTTGACACCTATTTGCTCATGGCAAATATGTGTTGGTTGAGTAATCAAGAAGATTCCATTACATTCCCACAAACTTACATTTTTCTACCACTTGTTATTCCTAAATAACCAAGAATAAAACCTGAAAGGATAATAGTGTGCTCTTAGTGAGGAATCACTACACTTGCCTCTAAGTTGCTGTAGGAGAGTTGGGCACTTTCAACACCTTTGGACTGTCACATACATTCAGACATAAGAATTCAATGAGATATCTGAAGACCTTCACAAATTCATGCCTATTTCATGAATACACTGCCGGAAATAGGAAAACATTCAGATGGGGACCTACATTTCCCATAGCTGATAATCAACGCCAGATTTCAGAATATTTTCTAGAGGATCTTCAGACTATCTGATTTTGGTGATGACATTGCTGTAGCCTACTGGCTTCTTTCATGAGGATCGCATACCACATAGCATCCCCATCCCCAAGTAAAAAGATCCTTTTAAGGATGGCAGCCACTGTTTATTCTCAGCTTCCCAAAGCAAGATGTTTTCTTTGGCTGTTCACAGATGGGTCCTGCGTTCAAGGTTTACATTTGTTTCCCCATTGCTTCCAAGGAACTGAAACAGGTAACACTGCTAGCACTGTCCTGGCTAGGGTGGGGCCCCAGGGGAAGAAGCAAGGCAAGCGGGTGATCAAGGAAGCTACAGCAGAAAGAAGTTGTGAACGGCAAGGCAGGAGTCATGATGGGTCAGCAGTAATGCTAGGTAAGCAGGAGCACACACAGCAGAGACTGTTGGCACCTTGGACAGAGCATTGGAGGAGATGAGCAGTTAGGAAGGTTCCTGCAGCAGCTATGGAAGGTTTAACACAGTTGATAAGCTCAGATCCCTCAGAGGTTTCATCTCCCACAGAAGGCCGAACATCTGCAACTTATATGGTCCTTGGTCATTTCTGTAGTCTTAATGTCCTGTGCAACTCAGGGGAAAAAAGTGTCTTGGGAGAACAATTCTTGGAGGCTGAGGTTGATGGGAGGGCCAAGTCCTTGGTTCCAGGGGATTTGTCAGGGGTCCCTTCAGGTCTTCCCTAGCATACAGTGACCAGTATCTCATTGAGCTCAGAATCTCCTTCAGGGCTATACTGAGTCTCTAGACCCAGTGCCATAACAAGCGCTTGCTAAATTAATTGTGTTTCTTTAATTTACTTGACTTGGAACAATCTGCTCCTTGGTGCATCGCTACCTTGCTTACTGCTTTGAAGCAAAAAGTCCAGGTATTCAAAAGTTTCAGAATTATTAATCAAATAACAGTTGATTTAGAATCAGTCCCACCTTCCTTAGGCAATTCTCCAGTGTTCCAGAATTGCTCAGTAGCTAACAAAGATATGAAAGGTCTTTATTTAAAACACAGAGCAGAATTAGAGCAGTTCCCTATGGTATTTTGAAAGATGGGTCATGTGTAAACCTTGCAGCATAAAATCATGAATTGATCCAGATACACATTAGCAGGGATCTGCCAGTGCTGGAGGATGCAAGAAGGTGATTCTTACCAATTCTGCTCTCTACCTGCAGAACCCTGTGCCACTCAAAATTCTGTTCCAGGATGTTGGGGAATGCCCCCCCCCACACACCTTTGGCACCCTAAGACACAGTGCAAAGAACTAGAGGGGGAAGAGGGGAAGCAAGAAAAATTATATCTCCCCCTTCTCACATCCTCCAGTGGGAAGTCTCCATTGGATCTCAACCTATTCTGTGAACAGAAGGAGCCATTCTGAGTCAAACCCAATGTAATTAAAGCTAAATTGGGCAGATTATTTGAGGTCTGTGCATATTGAAGGATGGAGTTGCTATGAATATGTCATACCAATAGTGGCTGTGTCCTCAAGAGGATATAATAGCCTTTTAGGGAACAGTGCCTACATTTCAAGTGGTTATCCCATAAACTTTTACCATTGTCTTCTGCAAGTCGTTGGCTGGCTTCCCACCCACCCCTCTCTTCCAAAATGCATTTATAGAGTAATACTGTGAGTACTCTGGGCTAATGGACCCAAAAGAGAAACTGTGCATTAAAACAACTTTGAAAGTTGTTGAGTAAAAATCTGCTCTTTGATTCAGCATTAATGTCCTTGATTGACTAAATGGAAGTGTAGATCAAGTTCACATCCATGTAAAGGATTGTGAGAACAAAATTATAATCTAGTTTGTTATTGTTCTGTGCCATCAAGTTGTCTCCAGCTTTTGGATGAATGCCCTCCAAAAGGTCCCAGCTTAGCTGTTCTAAATTCTAGGCTGTGGATTCCCCAATGGAATCAATCCATATCTTATTTGGTCTTCCTTTTCTACTTCTGCCTTCAACTTTCCCTAGCATGATTGTCTTCTCCAGAGAGCCTTGGCTTCTCAGGAAGTGATAGTCTAGTATTCCAGATTAATCTACAACAAAAGCCTCTTAATGTATGGCATGCAAACAGTTGCAAATAAAAAGACAAATATGGCAAATGGATAAAACAGCATGATATAAATAAATGGTGGGTCCCGTAAATAGTATTCTTCAAAACATGTGACCTGCAGCTGAACCCTCATTTTGCACAAGCATTCCATTTTTGCATGCCTGGCCTTTGATATTAAGCTCCTCGATCACAAGAACAACGAGGTTCTAATAGATTACTTTCATTGAAAGCATTTGCTTTTTGCTGTGGATAAAAGTCACAAAAATATATAATTATCTAATCTGAATAGTTCATTTACATTTTTTTAATTTAGAACTGATTCCCCCCCCCCGCCCAATATTATAGAATCAAACTTTTGCAGTGTTGTTATATCGCTTATTTAAAACAGCTTGAGGACTCTTGAAAACACACAGATGGATCAGCTGTGTGGAATGGAATTGACAACTTCAAACAGAGCCATCTCTGTTTCTTTCTTTTTGCCTTCATGCTATATCAGACCTTTGTGTTGAGCCAATGTTATGTTGTTGGCAACAATCCCCCTAAAGTTAAAAGCTGCTTGCCTAAATGATTGAGGCCATAATCATATGCATGTTTAATAGAAAAAAAGCCCTAAGACCTGCTGGGAGTGGAAGGATGTTTCCTTTCTAAACATGTGTAGGATTGTGCCTTCAAGCTTCCTCATTAAATCCCTGCACTTTGATGGTAAGAAAGGACCTAGAGTTCAGTATCCATCTATAGCAGTGAGGTGGCTGGGAAGCAGAAGTTGGTTCCTTTTGCCTTTTAAAGCAGACTTAACTACAATGTAGACTGAAACTCAGTTATCTTCAGATATCCTTTCTGAACTCTATAATGGAATTCTCTAATCAAAAATGGAGACTTAAATACATGTATTAGGAGAAATAGCATTCAAAAGCCTATCATATGAAAAATTGCTTGCAAAAAGATGTGCAACAGGCAAAAATGAGTGTGTTTGGAGAAATGTGCACAAAAATGCTTTTGAATTTTCATGCAAACTTTTTTTCCATCTCAAAGTTGGAGAGGAACCAAAGATTAAAATAATAAGTAGAGAGAAACCAAAATTGCTAAATTTGTGCATCCTTAAATGAAGCATACCTTAGAAATACCAGAGTGCTTTTAGGGGAGAAGTACAAAAGTGGTGAGTAGATTTTGCCCTCCCTTCAACTTGAGCTTTGGCAAAAGTCTATTTATGTGGTCATGTTCTGCCTCATCCCCTGAAGAACTACTGCACAGGTTAATGCCAGGAGTTTCAGAAATGGCACATCTTGTAAACCCTGGGAAAGGCAAACAGGAATAGTTAACACCCAAGCTTGGCTGGCAGATTCAGATCCACAACTGTTGAAAGATTAGGCCACAGAAAGTGAATCCCAGCACTTGAAAGGTGGATGGGAGCAGAGATGACATGCTTTCTTCATTGGTTGTCATACTGCCTTCATAGAAGCATGTCTGATGTGACATCTCGTCACATCCTTAGTGCCCCACGCACTGCATTCCAATTGCTGCAGCCTCCAATTAAGAGATACTGTCAATTCTCTTTACTCTGCTGCCAGAGTAATGGTCTCCTTGTGCCCAGACTAAACTAAGTTTTGAAGCCCTTATCCTTAAATAGCATTCTGTTCTAGTAATCATGCCTTACTATACCAAGTGATGGGTTGACAGAGAGAGGGAGGGCGAGCACTTGCACATGAGCAAGCCAGGAAACAAGTCAGAATTAGACTATTAAAACTTGAGTCCCACTGCTCTGGTCTACCTGCTCCCCCTCCTCCTTTCCCCCCTCCCCCCACTCCATATTTTCAGGGATCAGTACAGGGCTCCAAATCAACCCACAGATATTTGCTGTTGCATGCAGAACCAGAGTTCCTTTTATAAAATTGGTAATTATAAAATTATCAATCGTGAGTGTGGGGAAGTGGTAATTGCTTTAAAAGCTAGGACCCAGGTAATGCTTCTCCATCAGGCCTTCTTTATGACCATTTTGTGATGCCTGCGAATACTCTGAAGCTGGAGTTTTGCTAGACTGGTTTTTTGATCTCAGATGTATCTACTGTTTGATAAGCAGGCTTCCTGCTCTTAACAGTGACTAAGCAAACCCATATTCTTCAAGGGTGGCTCCCAGAACTTCACAGAACAGCCAGTAAGAAGACATTCCATAAAGTATTTTCTTGTCCATGCCATTATTTATAGGCAAATCTTTATGGGTTGCCTCCCTTACTTGCAATTATTTCATCCATTGCAATCTCGACATGTGGGAACATACCTCAGAAATAGGGATGTACATGAATTTTGTTGATGCTTGAAAAAATGGTGGAAATGTCCCACAACTCCAAACATGACCACAGGAGCAACTGCACTTTTCAGAAAAAGCTTGGGCATTCTCAAGGACACATTTTCCTGCTTTAATCCATGAGGGTTAGCATGCCTTTGGATGTATGCTTGGAAAAGTGTGTTTTTTGCCTGTTCAAAAATGACCCTCACACATTCATCTTCAGTAAGAATGGGAGGTCATAAGCAATCAGGTGCAA